CTGCTCACACACCCGTTTTTCCCTTCCCTCTCTCCTCCGGCCTTGGCAGCGCATCCTGGCAGTCCATCTCTCAGGCAGGCAATCCCGCTACAGGCAGGCGAGCAGCCAACCTGCTAATCCAGTTATGCACTACAAGACCCGAGGGGGTGCACCGTTTCGGAAATAACAGGCTATTTCCATTATTTAATTACCAGTCAAGTTACCTGCCGAAAGAATATTAAAATGCCAGCAGGATTATGACATTGAGATAGCGGGTCAAAGCCACCCGAGTTGAGTTTTGGAGGACACAACGGCACAGCTGCTTTCTTGGCACCTTTGGCCCACACCAGCCCGAGACGCCGGTCTGCTCCTCCAGCCCCGCACCATCTCCTCTTTGCACGGGAAGAAGAATCTGTTGCAACTTGCAAGCCACCAAGCACAGCAATCTAATGCTGCTGCTACCACGCCACGTGAAGAGAAAGGAAGGCTCCTTGAGGCAAAATCTATTTATTCCCCAGTTAGATTTGTATTTTTTTGTTTGTGGAAAGGTGCAAACAAGACTTCCTTCATAAACCAAGAATTTGATTCTCCTGGAGAGCATGGTAGCAAAGATTTGTGTATTATTAAAATGGCTGCATATATTATTTGCAGCACCGCCTGCTCGACTGATAGCTCTGCAGGCAGTTTCTGCTCCCCCACTCAAAAATCTGAGTATTTTGAGAAAAGTTCCGGAATGGCAGTCACACCTCTGCAAACCAGAGCTCCAAAATAACACTACGGGCTTTCTGACATCTTTATTTCCAAGATGTCATCCTAGTGAAGGGGCAATCCATACATCTCTAACCAGAACCTTAGAGAGATATCCACTATTTTCATATACTTGCATGTCTGTGTGGCGGCCGTAGAAGAAGGTGGCCCATAGGTCATCTGTCACCAGAGCTTAGTGGTTCAGATGGTATCAGCAAGCACGTCTGTTTTAGTCAAAAGCACTATCAAAACCAGCTCGCCAGGAGCTAAATGAATAATGGAAATTCATCTTCCCCATTCCACAAAAAAAAAGAAGGCCTCTATTTGGGCAGCATTATTTGCCACCAATTATTCTGCTGTTTCCAGTCGGGCTCCAGGGAGCTGTGTTAGTTCTCCCCAGAGCTCAGGAGCTGTTCATTTAGACTCCCAGCTCCTTTCGCTCCCCCTGCAGTGCCAGACCACAGGAGCTTTAAGTGCTGTCTGTTGCTCTGTGTCCCTCACAGGGTTTTGGAACCTGTCCCAAGCAGGGAAAAGCAGAGAGCTTTTCAGTTCTGAATTAGAATATAAAATGCCACAGTTTACCATAACAAAGGAAGGGTGGAGAGGAATACTGAGAATGCCCCCTTAGGGACAAAGCTGGAGGATCCCCGGTGCACTGGGACGCTGCCACCTAACAGCATTTGAAAGGTGAAAGCCATCACTTCATAAATATATTTTGGCAAGAACCTGCACTATTGTCTTTGATACACATTTTTGCTTTGTAATAACTCTATGACTTGTCCCTAGGAAGACCACATCCCTGCCTAGTCAGCACTGGGATTACTGGTAGGGGGATGACCCATCAGGGTAGTCCCACACCTGCGCAGCATCTAAAGTCCCTGAGCACTGGGCTCCGACTGCCCACACTCGCCTGGCTCAGCGTCACTCGCCTGGTCTGTCCTCGCAGGGCTACGTCCGCCGCCCCACGGCCCCTCGCACGTTCACACCCACGGCCTTGCAGCCACAAACCAGACCTGCACACCGGCCCAAAGCACAGAGCGAGAGCGTGGTCCCACCTGCGTCTTGCTACAGAGTGCCACTTCCTGGGGAAGGAGGTGACGAGAGGTTTCATCGCTGAGCACCACAGAGACGGCAGCTTCCACAGCAATTAGCTAGACCACCACACCCAGTTTTTCCAGTTTACAGTCACATCTGCTGTGGATTTTAATAGAAACTTGAAGGAGAGACAAAGTGCCACCCTATCACCACTGCAGTAGGCAACTTAAACGTGACTTCAGATTTTGAGGCTCTTTATAGCAATCCTACTGAGTTTCTAATGTTTTCTTTAATTATAAAATAGCCCTGAAACTGCAGCTTGAACCCTTAGAGTCAGAACAGATTTGCTCCTTCTTCAGTACGCTCAAAACCACAGCAACAGCAGAGCTCAGCACCACAGCATTATCAGGTTGGCTTACTTTAACCGAAGCCAGCGGAGATTCTCGTCATCCAAAAAGGGATCGATAGAAGCCTCTTACTTCCACCTAGCAGCACTCACAGAACATCCTAACAAGTAATGAACCACACCAGGTCTGAACCCAGCTTCCTTAAGTACCCCTTCAGCCCCACCACAGCTGGCAATCAGCTTGGGGGCACGGTGGGGTGGGGCTGGGTTGTCCTTTGCTTTTCTGCCTGTCTCCAGTGTGGTCCTGGGGAAGGGGCTTTGCTCTGTCACCTGCTGAAGAGTCTGCCTTCTGCTCATGAAAGCCTGCAGAAGATCTTCTGGCTACCAGACCCTGGACCCTAAAGTGTGAGATGAGAGAAATGCGAAGGCTAAACGGGAAGTGCTGTGCTGCAGTGCCAAACCGGCGCCAGGCTGCCCGCCCTGACCAACAGCAGACGCTGAGGATGAGACCATTTCCTAAATCCCGCTCCTCTTGCGGATTCCTGAGGTGGCTGTCGAGAGTGCTCCTCTGACGCAGTCACTGAACCCCACCTTTAACCAGCCTTTAGAAAGTCCCCTTCGCTAGCTCCACGCACGCGAGGTGCGAGAGGGTAGCTCACTGTAGTAGTAGTTCGAGGTCTCCGTATCACAGGGGAGGGCACGAACCCTGAGAAAGCTCAGGTGGGAAGGGTCCTCACAGTCTTTCTCCTCACCATTGAAACTGTGCTTAAATATTACCCAATAATTAATCACAGAATCACACAGTTATAAGTAAACTTATAACTCTTATTACGTTTAATGTTCCCTAAGGGAAGGAGCTGGGCAGAGGCCTTGATCCACTACATTCTTCAAATTTTCCTGTGGGATTTTGATCTATCTTCTCCTCCCCTGCGCTGTGTCCTTAGAACAAGGCTGCAGATACTTTTTTTCTCCAAGCTAAATAAAAATTCAGGAAACAGATCAGCATTTGTCAGAAGAAACAAGGGTGGAGGCTGGGGGCACCAGTCTGGGGGCTTGTACCCCTTTAGGACACTTCTGGAAATCACCGATCCTGTCACATACTGGATCCAAGTCCAGCCAGACCTCCTCTCTGCCCTGTGGCTTGCAGAGGGCCAAATGTGCCTTGGGACTACCAGCTCATCATGCCCCCAGACAGGAGGGTGGGAAACATTCTTTGGTAGCACCAACCAGTTTGTAGGAACCTGATAAACCTCAGACGTGTGCCGACACGCTCAGCCCAGTCAGGAGCGAAGCGCTCCTGGGCGTCCCTCCGTGCACAGCGGCAGAGGCACCGCCATGGCCAGGAAGGGGCCAGATGGGTGACCTGGCAACCTGCAAGATGTAGTTGCACATCCAGAGGGCTACTTGGGTGCCTACGTCCTACACCATTTCATTTACGGGACCTCAAAGTTCCGTCCAGGCACCACGCAGGCACCAGAGATGTTTTTGCTGAGGGCATGTTCTGCTGCACCTGCATTTCTGCCAGCTGGCGTGAAGTACCTCTGCACTTGACTCTGCCCCACACTGGATGGTCCTGTCCAGATGTGTTCCTTGGCTGTCAGGTTTGAGACTGCTGGGACAGAGAAGCAATTATTTTTCTCTGTGTAAAAAAACTTTTGAGTACGACCTAACTTAGGTGCCTACCTTTAGGGGAGGCTGCACAGCTGAACATGCCGAACACAAAGAAGCAGAACAGACACCGCCAACCCCCTGCCTCATTTATGGGGCTCCTTCATCAGCTGGCTCCTGAGGTTCTCAAATCTCTGTCTTATGGGAAGCCTGCACATCTATCCAGAAGCTACAATCTCCAGCAGTGATGGTAGCAGGGGTGGTAGCAAAAGATGGAGCTAACACTTCCAAAAAGATCAAGCAGTGAGGCCAAAGGAAATTAAGCATCAGAAGTGAGGCCTTGAGACAAGAAACGTAGTCAAAACCTGGGGAAGAGTTTGGGGAATGTTAGGGTCAGCAGTGCAAGTGCAGAGTAAAGCTGGAGAGTCCTCGAGCATCTGAGCTAAGCGCCAGGCGCTGCCAGACCAAACTGATGACCAGCCTCTGCCGAGCAGCTCAGCAGTTACCAGCTGACTCTTCTCCAGAGGAGATGCCTAGAATGGAGTGACCTAAAGTAGCTCTTTCTTCACTGTAAAACCATCTGATCAAAAATCTGCCAGGCATCAGGATTTCTACTTCACCTTAGTATCATGTGCGTCGATCCTCTGCAAAACCATTGACGCAGCTCTTACACCACCATGTCAGTGCGAGGGGGAACCAAAGAGCTGGGAGTGCTCAGGGTGAGAGGAGCTGCAAGGTTCACGCTCCCCAATATCAACACATAACTGACAGTATATGCATTATTGTATTTCTTGAAGAACAGAACTGTGTAACGCGGATTTCCTCCAAGAGGCTGTATTTTGATTTATTTAGGAAACCAGTAAGTTGAATTCTGCTGGAATCTCTCCACACAATGGATGCTCCAGGAGTCGACAGTGCACAGATTTCTTGGAATTGCCACATTCAGAGCAAATTACACAGCCTTAAAAGCCAGTTTCAAGACAGCTCTCTCACAGACAGAAGGCATTGGCTGTGAAACAGAACACGAAACATGAGGCATCGGGTGACATCAGGTAGCACGTTTCTGTTTATTTGCCTTTCTTCAAGAACTCAAACTCACCATTAGGCAAAGGAGTGCATACAAGATGTACAAGAAAAAGATTAAAAGAGATTTCTTTATAACTGTACTCGGTGGCATGAAGGCCCACAGCCTCTGGATTTTTTTGTTTTTTTAAAAGGAGATGTTTTTACTCTGGCTGAGGTGTCACAGTTCAGAGAACAACCTGCTGTCTACAGGAATCTCCTGAGAAAATAGAAAGTGAACACAGCTATTTGCTAGGCTGTTTTACGGGATGAACACCGCCAGCTGCACCAATGGCATTTTGTGAAACCTGTAAGTTTACAAAGACAATAGGAAATCCAACTGCAAAATGACGGGGACAGGGACAAGTGGCTGGAGTTTCTTTGGCCTTGCAAAAGATTCCCGCCTGCTGTAAACTTGTGTTTGTGTTCTTCAGTACAGCTGTGATGGCCTGCAACAGAGGTTCTGCCCTAGACACATCTAGCTTGCCCACAGTTCAACTCAATGCATTAGTAACTTTCATACGTAATATTAAAACTGAAGGGGTGTCTCCCAATGTCCTTCACATGATGCTCTGTCTGTTCACGTCCACATTGTACGCTGATGAATTGGAACAGCCTCGGCCAAAATCGATAAAAATGCCTTCAGAATCAGAGTCAATCGACTCCAAAATCTGATCCACTATGTTCTCAGGGCTTGAAGAGCGAACTGGAATCAAGGAAGGGTCCCTGTCCAGCTCAAAAGACTTATGTGGGTCGTCCATCGAGTGGAAGAGTCCTTTCTGTTGCTCGACTGTGCTGAGTTTGCTAGAGCATTGCACTGACCCAGGGCCGGGCCTCTCCTGGTCTCCTGACAGCGAGCTTTTTGTGGCCGTCATGGAGCTCTTGGAACCGCTGTCCATGATGGTGGTGAGGTTGGAGTACCCCTGTAGCTCCAGGCAGGAGGTCATTTCCGAAACCGAGTGCCTTCGGATGCCCGTTCCATTGGCAGCCAGGCCCTCCGTTTCGTATTCGGCTACTGGCGTCAGCAGGGGATTGTTGTAGCTCTTTGATCGCACCACGGGGTTCTTGGCAAGGATGTCACCCGATTTGGAACGCCTGAAGAACCGCTTCTCTGTAAACAGAGAAAGATCCAGAGTAATATCTACAAAGGCTCCCATTTTTGTGGTACTAATACTTGCAAGTGTTCAAAAGTCAAGCCCTGACGATTCATGAGCTTTTCTCGAAGGACAAAAACTTAAGAATACATTTTGCTGGTTTTATAGATCCGTAAGATTCAGACTTCCTAGATTTCTTTAGCGTATTGAAGACCTCAACTATACCTTTACAAGTAATAGCTGAGACGCCCTTATATTCACACAACTTCAGCAGCTGAAGTAAAGCAGTAAATATTGTGGGAGACCTGGCACACAACTGCAAATACTTTCTTTAGAGAAGAACAGGAACTGCAAATCTGTTCTTGTTCAGGCTGTAAAGGTCATCGCTGCTTTCTAGTAGCTGGAATGTAACTTTTCCACCCACCCTTGGAAAATCAGGTCTCTTCAAATTTGGGGCACAAGGATTAAGACTTACTAATAATTCCAAAAAAAACTTGGATTCAAAGCATCGTTCGGACATACACAAGGAGAGAGCACCAAGAGTGTTTGGAAATGTTCACTGGAGGGCAGTGCCCACAGCCCGGCAGCGACTGTACGAACGCTGCGTTCACCAAGCGGGCTCCTCCCAAAGGAGCAGCAGGTGGCAGCGGGTCAGCACGGAGATCCCACCAGTGATTTCAGGCTGGAGTGCTCCCCAGCAGCTAGGTCAAAATGACCATCACACAAACTGTGTGTGGATCTCAGTGCTCAGACTCACTTGTGCTAAAAAAAACCCCAAAGTGGTGTGAATAATGGGTCTCACTTTTGAAGCTTTCTTCCTGCTGCTCTCGCTTTGCCATCCCCATGAAAGGGGCATGGCTGGAGAAGGGAACTGAGTTGCACTGGAAGTCAAGCACAGCCACTGCATAGAAATTGTCTGCTTTAAATCGGGATACTGGTGTATGTTCCCCTGCAAACCATGCAATTTTCTTTACAAATGCCAGTCTCTTCTCAAATTATACGTATGTACAATTATGTGCCTACCTGAGCACCAATTCCAATCATATGCTGTACAAATGATGTCAAACAACCAAGAGAAGGATAGCAAAAGAACACATAAAAAAGCCAGTTTCTGTACTTCAGATTGTATTTTGCACTTGTGTCTGCCTCGGCAGTGCAATCAACTGAGACAAGCTGACTTTTGGACTTTTTCTCTGTTAGGAGGAGTTTGACCTGGCAAACAGAAGAGGTTCCCTGGGGCTGCTCTGCCTCAGGAACTCTGGCTTTTTGGTAACCCCAAGGCTTGGCTGGAAGGGAAAGCTGTGTGCTGGCCAGACAGGGAAGAAAAGAGGTCAGTGGCCTCACCAGTCCCAAGGACAAGATGTCACAGCTTTAAATCATGCTACCAAAACAGCTGGACAGAACTAGCTGCATTAGTTTAAAAGCAGCAGAAACTTTTGCACTCAGCTCCCTTGGATGCAGGTTCACTGACCATAGTAAGACCTACCCAGGGGCACTGCTACAGATCTACACCCCAGACCACAGCAAGCGGACGCGCCCGGTCCACCAAAACTTTCCTATCTTCGGCAGCCATGCAATACAGCATTTATTTTCTAACAATACAGTTTGCTGGAGTTTTATTGTCTTTGGCTACATATTTTCTGTCCTGACATACAAAAGCTTGTATTCAGTAAACGTCAATTTGGGCACCATTTAAATGCTTGTGGCCGTTTAATAGCAAGCAATGAATACAAAGTAGTAATCCTGAACCATTTTCCATGAATAACTGGCTTCTATTTATTCACATAAAACTGATTTGTTTCATAAACTCTTACTGCAATACAACCATTTTCCCATTCAGTTTCAAGGGAAAATCAACTACCTTATTGACCATTTCTGACAAGCAAATAGATTAAATTGACTGCATGGAAAACACAGGATTGAACTGATTTTCTCCTCTGTTTTCTCTATTCAAGCAGCCCATCACAGTATTTACATTAGAATACTCAGGTACTACCTCATTCCCTTTTTGATTTACACTGCTAGAATCCCCCTTGAATTTTCAACAGATTGAATTACTACGTGGGATATTCAAAAGACCTTCATCTTGGACAAATCTTGCCTTCACGGAAGTCACTGAATGCTTCAGAGCTCAAAGAACCATAGAAAATAAGCTGAAAGGGACTCAAGCAGGTCACTCACACAGCCTCTGCCACCGGGGAGAGCCACGTTTACCCCCCTGCTCCGTATGGATGCTGTGTGTGTGACATGTAAACAGGACCTCCAGAACGAAGACTCCACAGCCTCAAGAGGCGGTTTATGTGACACTAGAGATTTTTCCTTCCATGTAACCTGAATTTCCCCCGCTACGTGTGGTCCACTCAATTTTTCTTATCTCCAGGGGGATGGAGAACAGCTTATTACCTTCCACTCTGTGGAAAGCGTTTACATGTTTGAAGGTTTATCGCTTAGTCTTCTCTAAGACAAATGCCTACTCTCTTCCCTGCTTTAAATGGCCTTGTATGGTATTTGTGCACTCGTGAACAGACACTACTCAGCACTCTAGAAATGGCTCCTTGCTTCTTCCTCTCAGCAGCATCTTGTGTTAAAGGTCTCTCATTAAAAGGTGGAATGGAAATGCTAAACACGCTCTAGAGTCACAGATTTATTAATGAGCACTGTTATGATGATCTGTTTTCATCCTCTGCCACGGGCAAGTTTCACTGTGACTCTGCACATTGCAAGGAGCATGGCCTTCAGAAAAGGAACCTGACCGTGCTGCATCAGTACCGGCAGCCTCCTCTTGTGTGGCCCTGTCCCTGTGTGGACCAAGGTTCGGCGCAGCCCCCCGTGCTGGGTCAAACTGAGCCTGCACTGTTCTTACCCAGGATACAGGACGAGTGCGTGAAGGGTCCGTCGCTGGAGTACAGGCCGTACGTGCCCAAGTAAGGAGAAACGACTTTCTGGATCAGGGATTCCAGTTTCAAATAATCTTCAGTCACACCTTTTGACTCGTGAACCCCCTGAAAGAGAGAAAATCCCCAAGATGAGCACTGTCCCCTCCAACCACAAGCTCTCCTTGCTGACTGGGGCAAGCAGAGCGGTGGCACGCATTGTCACGAGGTTATAGAGCAGAGGTGCACCATGATGCCACGCTGGTTTGTTACTACAGCTGATTCCTCTCACTGAAGCCAAGAGCCGTGAGCCGAACTGGCGAGACTCACCACGCAGGCACTGCGCGAATGCTCTGAGAGAGGCAGTGGCCATTTTCGGGACATTTAAATTAAATCCACAAAGGCAGTCAGGGACGATGCAGTCTGTGAAGATGAATTAAAAACACCCCTGGGCTTTTTGTTATTGCCATCTTCCACCGACTTCTGAACGACCCACCGCCCAGTGCTGCACCAGTGCCTGGTGCCACAGGGTGTCACTGCTATCCAAGCAATACCAACAGGGTAAGAAAAATGTCAAACCGACTCTCAGAAATGTTTCTTCCAGGATCTTTTCAACACGAAATATTTATAGTGAAGAGGTTTGTATCTCACTCCTCACCCCCTCCCTGGCACTTGCCATTACCCAGGCAAAAGTCACATTACAACCAGCACGGTCAGATGCACCCACAGTTCTGCCCTGAGCTGTTAACTCTGCGCTCCCACCCACAGCTGGGCGTACGAGGCTGCCGAGGTGGAGCCGCCGTCTCCGTCCCACGCACAGCTGCCGTGTGCGGCTGCTGCGCGGTCGGAGCGGAGCCCTGTGTACTGCTCTGCAGGATCCCTCTTGCCACCCGCAGTGAATTCCTATTTCAGTGTGTTGCTATGTGGCCATATGTTTGACATATCTTGTTGCAGAATTAAGATCTTGAATGTCATACTCGGCAAGAAGTTTGCTTGAATTTAGCAGGATTCCAGATTTCATAAGATGTCCCTGAACTACTGTAAAAAGAAACATGTTGGGACGAAATCTCCAGAGATCAAATGAGTGAAACTGTAAAACTCCCTTCCACGTGTGAAAGGACCCTGACGTTCAGTCTGATTCACCAGCCAGTGTCTACGGGTGAGCAGCCGCCTGCGACACGTCTGTGAATGGTTTACTTCACCTCTTGGCTGCTGCGCTGCCTGAGCGTTACCTGACAGGAGTTTATGGATGGAAAATTAATAACGGCAAACACAGAATGGACAGAATTTGGATGCCAGTTCAGTGGGTTTTAAATAATGAGTAACGATCTGTGCTATGTCCTGTAAAACTCTGGGAGAGTCACAAATACAAATACTCAGTGAATCTGAAAGCTTGCAGACACCGAGGTAATGGCACAATGAGCCCACAGATACTCAACCAGTTAAACCAGACAAAAATAACACAGGAACAATTCAGAAGACTTAGTGATGGTGCCCGTTTTATTTCAAATTCATTGTTGGCCTGTATCAGAGAAAACACTTCAAGTAACAGGAGGAAGAGTTTCAATTTGTATCACGCTGAGATCTGCTCCATGGTTTCCCCTCCTGTCTTCTGGGATTTAGCCAAGATCTTCTCAGCCCCCAGAAGAGCAAGATGCCTGCCAACCCTACTACATATTCACAACTGCATGGAGCTCAGAAGCCACCGGCAAACGCCAGCGTGTTAGGCCATGCACTCCAGGCTACCACTCCCATTGCCTCCGGAACCTGTCTCCGAAACGTGACACATAACACTGGTGGCAAAAGCCAGTGATATTTAGCATTGCTCATGCCCAGATTTTGTGGTAAGGCTTTATTTGTCTTCTGCCATTTAAGTATTACTGATACTTGTGAAAGAGGGTAGCTAAGTATCAACCGTGGAGAACGAAACCCAGTAATTCACTAGCACGATGCTGCCCACAAAGTAACTCGTACCGCTAGCAGAACTGTGACACTGTACAAGTGACAAAAGTGTCCTTGCCCAGTGGCATCTTAACACTGTCCCATTTCCTGCTGGCCTCACATGCCTGAAAGGCTCTTTTGGTTTCCCTCTTGGCTGTGAATTATCTGCTGTACACCCCTTCTTCCCTGATGAACACCTCAAAAGCCCAAGCTGCATCCTGCGCTGACTGCCGCTCTGGCAGAGACACAAGGCGGCTTCCAGCAGCTCTGCTGGGTTGGGGTAGGCTCCTGGGGGGACTCGACCCCAAAGCTCCAGGTGCTGACACCCCTCCGTCACGGGGCCAGCGAGCAGCTGTGCTGGGCACAGATCCACCCTGTCCCCACCACTGCTGCCCTGCGGCTGCTGTGCCTGGCGAGCCCATCAGGTCCCTGCTCCCGAGAAACACCCTCTTCTCTCAAAATTCCAACTCCCTGACCACTTGCAGCAGCTTCTTCTTCAGTCTTGCCCTCAAGCTTCACTCCTGCTCTCCCAAGCGCAGTGGTAATCTCCACCCCCCTTTTCACTTCAGCCTCTTAGTTCCCACTTTTGAAGTGAAGGGGCCACAAAATACCACCTTGTCAGTGTCAAATCTCCCAGTGTGAACACAGCCCATCATTAGTCTTACTCCTCAGCTCTGCCATCATCCATGGGATGCTTTTCAAAACACACTGAAAAGTCATACAACATCTGCTGTCCGCTGGAGCCGTGGTGACTTCTCTCCAGCGCTGCGCCCTGGCACAGACGTGCCGCATCCACCTGCGCCATCCTTCCGGCGCTGACCATCGCTCCAGGCCTTCCTGCAGGCACTGGATGGGGCAGATCCCTTAAACACTTTTCTCAGTGTGGAGCTTCTGTGAGAGCAGGAGCAGGACTCCTGAGCCCTGGCCCAGGCTGCCCAGAGGGGCTGTGGAGTCTCCTTCTCTGGAGATATTCCAGACCCGCCTGGACGCGGTGCTGTGCCCCCTGCTCTGGGTGACCCTGCTTGGGCAGGGGGTTGGGTGGGTGACCCACAGAGGTCCCTGCCAACCCCGAACATTCTGTGATTCTGTAAATTCAGTGAGAAAGCACTTCTGGTGGAAGTTTAGGATGGAGCAAAGTATGGTTATAAATGCTTCGTATATCTATATGTATATATAGATAGATAGATATGCATGTATAGACATTTATCCATCTATCTACATGGATATCCATATATACTTAAAGATATATGAAGTCCTTTTTAGACCTTTTCCCAAATTTGTAAGTGAATCTGCTTATAAAGGCAAAATCATTTTTAGAATAAAGCCAACCTGGGGTTGTTATCCGTGTCACAACAGTTTCTGAAAAACTGGTAGCAGGACTTAAAAGTCAACAACAAAGTCATTAAAAAAAGTATTTTCATGTTATTTTGGCAACTCATGGTTCTTGTACTTACTGCTTGATGCCTTATGAGTTTGGTATGTCACTATATAGCAATAAAGCAGAAGTCAGATCGAGCAGGCTGGCTGCTTAGCTCGCAGGAAGCTGTATCGTAATTTGGAGGAAAACAGAAAACTTGGTGCACTATCACTAAAACAGAGACTCTACCCCTATCTTTAATGCAATATTTGCTCTGCAGACATACAAAAACTTGCTTTAAAAGACAACCACAACTTTTCACGAACCCAATTTTATTTTAGCAGGAGAGCTTGACGCTTCTCTGCAAGTGTGAGATGTATCTATTACATTCCTTTCAAAGGCCTTGCCTGACCCATTTCTTTCTCAATTGAGGGCCAAAATAGCTCAGTATCAAATAGCTGCAAGTAGCTTAGTACTTCTGAAATGGTGTGGCTGCTGGGTCCAATCCTCATCTTGGTCGCACTGTTTTGAATCGCAACAAGAGTCACCTCGTTATCTTTGGAAGGATTATAGTGTAATATTACAACAAAAGTCTACCAGGATTTGAGTCCTGAATATGTGAATATCATTGCAAATGGAAAAGGTCTATACTGAGCATCAAGAAGGGAGACGTATTTCTGCATATAACACAGTATCCAAGTCCCTTACTTCATTAACCTGTAATTAAATCATTTAGAAACAGAGAATTGTATAGAGTAGTTCAAAAGCATCAAGAGGACCCTGTGCACTACTATTTTGGATACGTAGACCTGTAAGCTCTCCCAGAAGTGCCATATACCCTAAAAACTACAGGTTATTGAGGTAGAGACTTCACAAAGTTCCTGCCCTGTCTGCTGCACCACGTGCCCCCGGTCGCTGCACTCGCGTATGCTGCTGGAACAAAACATTCATCGTGTCTGGGAACAAAACCCCACGAGTCAGAACCAGAAGTCACTCCAGCGAGACGGGACGCACCAAACCACCCAGGTTTCCATCCCTGTTAAATCCCTAAGTTAGCCACAAACTCCTACCGAGTTTTTACAGGGCACAAGGGCTTCTTACGAAAGCGCAGAGGAAAGAACTGATCTGTCTTTTTGCACTGCGAATAAACACATACGCTCAGAAAAACAGCTGGTGGTTTGGTAACCCCACGTAAGGCCACAGCCTCCTTCTGCAATATATAGGACTTCCCTAAGCCTCAAAGTGGTCCTAAACTGGGGGCCACTCCAGGCAGGCGTTTAAGGACTTGAAGAGACCTCCTCAAACACAAGCTTAAAACCTGCCTGAAGCTCAGGTTTATTACTTTAACCTTCTGCATGCTGTACAACAAAGATGGACTGCTTTGAAGATTTTTTAATGAACATATATGTTTTAACAAAAAATACTATTAAGCCATTATCAACATTGTGTCTGAGCACAGGCTACACGACTTGAAAAGCTACCAGAAATCTAAACGCTATTGTGGTAACATTTATGACAATTTTTCTTTAAAAAAAAAAAGTATCAAAAGTCCTTGCCTTATCTTACCATGGCAATTAAATCACCACAATCACAACTCTTCATTTCTCTGTCCTATCATACTAACTCCTAACACCCTGCTCTGCTCTTACGGGCAGTGAACAGGGCCAGGGGCCCGCAGGCGGGCAGCCCTGCCGTCGACCCAGCTCTGTGCAAGACCCCAGCCTGCCCGCAGCCTCTGTCCCTGGGCAGCCAGGTGGTCGGTGCTGCATTCTCCCCAAGGCTCTGGCTCCATCTTTTTCTTCTTCACCACAACTGAAATCCTCTAATTTTT